CCCGCCGCTAACAGGTTGTTTCTGCTTGTTAAACTCAGCATCCCTACTGGAATATTATTAGGCATCAATTTCTGTGTGAAATTCAGTTTTCAATCTAACCCTTTTTTTCTGCGTCACATTTTTCTATGGGATAACTCTGACTTCTCATCTACAAAAATTTACGAAAAGGATTGGGGATTTAGGCGCTGACTATTCAACTTAAAGTCGCTAACAAGCAAACCACTCAGACCCATTTATTCTGAATTACCCGGTTCAAAGCGCTACTTTAAAGGACACTACGGACGAATGTCTTCAGAAGCCGACTTCATTACTATCAGGAGTTTGAAACTTGTGCTTCGTGTAAAGAAGCTGGATTCACCCCTATACGGATAAGTTTGTCGCATTTCCATAAGCTGCTGCCTATAGTGACGTTTGTGATATTTCGTCTTTTGCATGTGTTTTGCCGTGAAAATATAAAATTGGTATGTCAAGATGGTGCATGTAAGACAGACGCAAGATTGTCTTTATCTAGGTCGAGTTTCAAATTAACATCTATGCCTTTTCACATAGCCCGACTGAAATCTGTTCAGAACTTTCTATTGAATACTTTTTAATTATGTCCACTTAGCAATTTTCGGCAAAGATTTAGCTAACTTTTCGACTCTGAATTGCAACCCTGAGGAGAATAGCGATAGGTTGCGTGAAACCTCTCCCCACCTTGTCATCTGGCTGGCGTTCATGAGATTTCTGTTCGTTGATCTGTGATTGGATATGTTGTCGGCGTAATTCACGCAGCGAAAAGCAGTTGCAACTCTACGATATTTGGTTAGGATTGTTGGAAATTACTTACTCTGCGTAAGTGATTATGAAATCGGCCAATGGGAGAATAACAAAGCCCATGCAGCAAGTGCGATGATTTGCGCGGTTGTACACAGAACCAAAGTGGGGAAAAGCAGGTGGTTATTTTTGAAAGGTGTTATTACGCTAAGATCGATCCTGGGGAGAAGCGATTTTGAAGTGTTCTATGCTGAGTGCATGGAGGCATTCTAATATTATTACAGCTCATAAGGCTATTGAAACCCCACTGTTTGTTTACACCGCATCGTTGAGGTAGCGGAAAATGTCTTTAAAAAGCACATCCTTTTTAGTAATTTGTAAAACGATGGAGAATTTTAACCTCTGCTTCCTGCAAGAAACAAAGAATCAGTACTTATTTTGATGGTAAATAGCCACGCTTAGGAGGTCAACTAGTGGCTCAAAAAACTGGTTGTGTTATGCAATTTCTAGACGTCAATAAGCCAAGCTAACATAGCGCGGATTAAAAAAACATTTTTAGGCGATGTATTGGGGTTCTATCACTTCTGTTAAACCAGGCTGTGCCTGAAAGGAGTCCGATATGCCGACAGTCCTGTCAACAATATATGACCATTTTTTATTGAGAATATAGAGTCGCGAATTCGCCATAATTTCAGCCACCTCTATAGCATGCCTGTAACTTCACAGGAGGTGGTGGTTCATGAAGCTTTTGCCAGGTTTATCCAAGAGGAGCTTGTGTGGAAAAGTCCAGCTTATTGGACCTACATTCCTTTCCAACAATATATGTTCAGTGCGTGAGAGTCTGTATTCAGTGCGTTGTGAGGATTTATCTTTAGCAAACGTCAAAGCGCTCAGCTGCCAGAAATCTCGAGGATGTGACAAAATTATGCTTCAAAGTGAGCGATTTACCAAGAAATTCTTGAAAAAACATGAATCCTATTTAACATCCAGCCTGTTGATAACAAGCTCGAGGTTGTAGATAAATTCCACAGTTTCGAGCAGCATATAAGATAACCTCCCGTCCCATTAAAACGTTACATTTGTAAACTTGAGTATTGTACTTTAATGGAACCCTATACATCAGAAAAGATAAAAGAGAATCAAGTAGATGGGACACGCAAGACACCGGAACAACCTGAAATGCGAAGATGCTGATGGCTTTTATCTTAAACAAGCGGCTCATTGTTCTTCAGGCTGTAAAAGACTCAGTGCTACGTATTACCAGAAGCAGTAGCTTGTCATTGCTTATGGTGGCCCAACAAAAGTTT